AAAAAAAAAAAAAAAAAATGGGTCCTCATTGTGGTTGTTTAAAAAAAGAAGCTATCAATACTGCAATGCAAAAAAAGAAGTCGCCAGTACATAGTACAAAAAAAAAACATACTCATCCCCCTAAACTAAAAAAAGAGAGAGCTGCCCAGGTTACCCAAAAAAACATGCCCATGGGTCCTGAAGTCAAAAAAATCGTTCTGCCATCGTACATCAGAAAAAAATACTGTAACTGTGGTCTGCACAAAAAAAAGCTACCCATCTCATCTGTGTAAAAAAAAAGGGAGTCCTTGAATTGAGGCCTAAAAAAATGCGCTAATGGAGCTTTGTGGCAAAAAAATGGCCAGGGCCCAGACTTCCTGTTAGCAGGCCCACGCTCATCAGTTTCTGTAAAAAAATTCTGCTGAGACTTTCAATACTTGACACTCAAATCAATAATGTTCCTGCTGACATAGGTTGGTTCTGCAATCAGGAAATAAAAAAAAACCTGGTTATCTTATCTGGGGAAAAAAAACCCTTGGCATATGCTGAGAGTTAAAAAAAGAATGATCACGTTGCCTCTAGCAAAAAAATTATGTCTCAGATCGCTTCAAAAAAAAAACTGGGCTCGGGGGAGGCACCACAAAAAAACATTTGGGAAGCTGGCGTTGGAAAAAAAATGTGGGGGCTACCTACCTCTTTAAAAAAATCTTTATGGAATTCTTCTGTTAAAAAAAACTTGGGTTTCTGCTGGAACAGTAAAAAAAAGGTGATGATTTTCATTCAAGAATAAATGGTCTTTTACATTCTTGCATTACAAAAAAAAGCCTGTGAACCCCCTGCCTTGAAAAAAAGCAGGGAGATGATTGTACATTGAAAAAAATTTTTAGAAAAAATCACATGTAAAAAAAATAAGTACGGAATATCTGATAGAAAAAAAAAAGTGTTGCCTGGGTCAGTGTTAACACAGAATGTGGCCCAAACGAGTCAAAAAAAAAATCCTGAACTCTGGCTTTTCGGGAAAAAAAATGTAGATACTTATTTCCTTAAAGTAGATGTTAGCAAACTACTGCCAATGTAAAAAAATGGCCCACCACCTGTATTTGTAAAAAAAATTTTATTGGAACACAGCCATGCAAAAAAATTTACAGATTGTCTGTGGCTGAAAAAAAACTACAGTGGCAGTTGAGTAGTCAAAAAAAAGACCAAATGTGTCATGCAATGAAAAAAATGTTTACTGTCTGTCACATAACAGAAAAAAGATTGCTGACTTTAGCCTGAGAAAAAAATATTGAGAAATATATGTTGGGGGGTAGAAGAGAGTAATGCTTAAACAGCCCAGCCTTTGGAGTCACACAGGTGGGATGAAGTCCTAACTCCTCCATTACTAGTTGTGAGAAAAAAAGCAAGTTACTAAACCATTCTGTAAAAAAAAAGTAGCAGCTATTATTATTAAAAAAAAAGTATTCCTAGAGCAAAGGTCCCAAAAAAATAGCCTATGTGCTGGAATTGGCTTACAGGCATGGTATGTTTGGCCAACCAAAAAAAAAATGTAAAAAAAAAATTTTTTTTAAAAAAAAGTCTTGCTCTGTCACCCAGGCAAAAAAACAGTGGCACGATCTCGTCTCACAAAAAAATCCACCTCCCCTCAAGTGATTCAAAAAAATCAGCCTCCCAAGTAGCTGGGAAAAAAAACAAACACCACCAGGCCTGGCTAAAAAAAATGTTTTTAATAGAGATGGAGTTAAAAAAATTGGCCAGGCTGGTCTTGAACTAAAAAAATCAGGTGATCCGCCTGCCTTGGAAAAAAAAAGTGCTGGGATTACAGGCATGAAAAAAAATGCCTGGCCTATAAATTTTTTAAAAAAAGCCCACTTTTAAGTATATAAGGAGATTTTACATTAAAATCTTGATTTCCAGTTTCTTTAGAAAATCCTAGGCCAGGCACAGTGGCTCACGCCTGTAATCCCAGCACTTTAAAAAAACAAGGCAGACGGATCACGAGATAAAAAAATCGAGACCATCCTGGCTAACATAAAAAAATCCCTTCTCTGCTAAAAATATAAAAAAAATAGCAGGGCATGGTGGCAGGCGAAAAAAATCCCAGCTATTCGGGAGGCTGAAAAAAAAGAATGGTGTGAACCCGGGAGGCAAAAAAAGCAGTGAGCCAAGATCGCACCAAAAAAAACCAGCCTGGGTGGCAGAGCGAGAAAAAAACTCAAAAAAAAAAAAAACGAAAAAAAAAAAATCCTGGAGCTCTGGCAACGTAAAAAAACCACCAAGCCCATGTTCTTTCCAAAAAAATTGGCGTCCTTACTTACTTGAAAAAAAAATATTGGAGAGCCCTTAAGAAATAAAAAAAGTCCAGGTGTGGTGGCTGACGCAAAAAAACCCAGCACTTTGGGAGGCCGAGAAAAAAAGATTGCCTGAGGTCAGGAGTTTAAAAAAAGCCTGACCAACATGGTGAAACCAAAAAAATACTAAAAATACAAAAATTAGCAAAAAAAGGTGACACATGCCTATAATCCCAAAAAAACGGGAGGCTGAGGTAGGAGAATAAAAAAAACATGGGAGGTGGAGGTTGCAGAAAAAAAAGATCGCGCCACTGCACTCCAGAAAAAAAAACAGAATGAGACTCCATCTCAAAAAAAAAGAAAAGAAATTTTTCTGTGCTGGGCACGGTGGCTCAAGCCTGTAATCTGTAAAAAAAGAGGCCAAGGTAGGTGGATCACAAAAAAACAGGAGTTCAAGACCAGCCTGGAAAAAAAGGTGAAACCCTTTCCCTACTAAAAAAAAAAAAATTAGCCAGTCATGGTGGTAAAAAAATGTAATCGCAGCTACTGGGGAGAAAAAAACAGGAGAATCACTTGAACATGTGAGGCTGAATTTGCAGTGAGCCACTGCACTCCATCCTGGGTGACAGAGCTTAACTCTAAAAAAAAAAAAAGAAAAGAAAAATATTTCAAAAAAAATCCAATGTACCTAGATAAGCTAAAAAAAAAGGGAACCTCCCGCAGTGCTTAAAAAAAGGAGTTCTCCTCTGAGTTACCTAAAAAAATTGTACAGTGCAGAAGCCCTGGAAAAAAACACAAATCTTCAAAATCAGAACCTCTGGGTTTAGGCAAAAGCAAATGTATAAAAAAAAAAACAACAACAAAAAAAAGAAAAAAAAAACTCTGACATCTCTGCTTCCTTTAAAAAAAAATCTCTCTCCCTCTTCTCTCTAAAAAAATTCTCCAGTCATCTGGCTGTTTAAAAAAAAGGAGATTTGCATCTGCTTTTTTCCTCCCTGCCCCATCTAGATTGGCATTTAAAAAAACTGTACCCTTCGGTCCACAGGGAAAAAAAGAGTGGCAGTGGCAGGAGCTCTAAAAAAAGAAAGAGGGAAGATCTGGTTTCTCAAGCAGTGAGGCCTGGAAGGGAATGTTCCAGAGAGGGCCACGTCAGTGGGGGTCCTGTGAGTGGGGGACCCTTGTGTGGCCTGCAAAAAAAACCAATTGCCATCCGTCCTCTCTAAAAAAAGCTCTGGAAGAGGATCTGAACCAAAAAAAGCGGGAGCAGGAGATGTTCTTCAAAAAAAGCGAGGAGGCAGAGTGCCCAAAAAAAAAAACCCCAAGCAAGGCCGCCAAGTAAAAAAACTACAATTCTGCGGATGCTTCTAAAAAAACGCCCAGGGCTGTGGCTGGCAGCTTGGTGGGCCCCAGGGCCTTCTCCTTCAAAAAAAATGAACATGTAACTCAGGACCCCAAAAAAATCTTGCGTCTGTGCCAGCTCAAATCCAGCCCCTCGCCCTGTGCCACTCCAGCTGTGCCCGATAGACCCGCCCCAGTGTTCAAAAAAACTCGCTGGCCTGTGGAGGGTGAAAAAAAATGATGACCCTAATGTAGGTTCTAAAAAAACCCCAGATCCCTTCAAGCTGGAAAAAAAAGGGCTGCTGATGGGGTCAGGGTAAAAAAAGAATGGGTGTTCCGTGGCCTTGAAAAAAATCCTGTTTGCCAAAATACCAGTAAAAAAATGTGTGGGAACAAAGCACTGCTAAAAAAATCTCCATGGGTTCATCCGGGCTAAAAAAATCTGCAGCCATTCCCTGCAGAGAAAAAAAATCAAGTCCCTCATAGCCATTTAAAAAAACAGTGGAGCCTGGCCTGCAGCTAAAAAAACAGGAGATGGCCTCATTCTTCCAAAAAAACCAGTTTGCTTTCCACTTAAGAAAAAAAAATGTCTATGTGGGGGGCGGGGAAAAAAAAGAGGGCGGCTGAAATGTTTCTTAAAAAAATCCAGTGTTTCATGCCGTCTCGAAAAAAACTTCCTGCACGTGTGTGTGAACAAAAAAACACATGCATACATACACACAGGAAAAAAACTGCTGGCCTGGCCTCTTCTGCAAAAAAAGGTTGGAACACGTTTGCTGCCTAAAAAAATGCCACTGAGCATGTTAGGTGGAGCAGTTGGTGTGGCGCATGCGGGGTGTTAAAAAAAGAGGCACGGAGAAGCACAGGCTAAAAAAACAGGCTGCGATTCATGCTGGCCAAAAAAAGGCTCCTGTGTTCAGGGACTAAAAAAAAAGCACACAAGGCTCCCACAACCCAGTCTCTCCATAGCACTCTTGCCCACCCCGTCTGCAGGTGAAACAGGAGGGCTGTTGCCCTCTGCTCCGTCCCCCCGACTGTGTTCAGGAGTCCCACCTTGCATTTCAGACCTGGAAAAAAAATCTCTTGGACTTCTCTTCAGAAAAAAAAAGCGTCAGGGGGAAATGGAGTGCAAAAAAACCAGGAACATGGCAGAAGCACAAAAAAAATACCTCAGATGGACCCCTGGGAAAAAAAATTCTCAGTTGGCTTCCCCCAGATTCTGATCCTACGGCTGCAGAGTGTATATAAAAAAATAAAAGCAAATGTTTGAACTAGAAAAAAACCTTACTTACAAAGAAAACCTTAAAAAAACCTGATTTCTAATTGTTTCATTGAAACGGCTGTAAAACGTATGATTTCTCCAAAAAAATATCTGCTTTTTTTAAAAAAAAAAAAAAAACAAAACTGGTAATGATTTGGAAAAAAAATATGGGCGTATTGAATCTGGGTAAAAAAATGCTGGTGAGACTCCCTGGGAGAAAAAAATCCGCCTTCGCTTCTACAGGTTAAAAAAACTTTTTAAGCCAGACATGGTGGCTAACCTGAGGTCAGGAGTTCGAGACTAGAAAAAAAAACATGGCGAAACCCTGTCTCTAAAAAAAATACAAAATTATTTTTGTATTTAAAAAAAGGCGTGGTGGTGCATGCCTGTAAAAAAAACTACTCGGGAGGCTGAGATAGGAAAAAAACTTGAACCCAGGAGGCAGAGGTAAAAAAAAGCCAAGATCATGCCACTGCACAAAAAAATGGGTGACAGAGCGAGACTGTCAAAAAAAAAAAAAAAAAAAAAATTATTTGAAAAAAAGTCTCTCATATTGTGCCCAATTAAAAAAAAACTCGTGGCTCAACTGATTCCAAAAAAACAACCTCAAGAGTAGCTGGGACAAAAAAAATGTGCCACTGCGCCCAGCTAGGTTAAGGTTCCGTATACTCTGTCTGTCTAAAAAAAATCCCTGGAAATTTTCTAAACATAAAAAAAAACTAGATGCTTGGGAAGGGAGGGGCAGCCCTTCAACAGGAAAAGGGGACTAAAAAAATCTTAACTATGCAGTAAAGATGCTCTTGGAACTAGCAATGGTTCTCAGGTTAAAAAAAATTTTACTTGCCTACTGCAGAAAAAAAAACAGATAGGACATTTTTCAGGTCTCTCACGAATGAGACAAGCAAAACAATTGTCTCCTTTTAGTCTCTTTGGTGCACAGGTAAAAAAAAAACATGAACTAGCAGCAGTGTAAAAAAAGAACATAGACCTAGTTCTACCAGACCAGGCCGGCATTGGAAACTGTCAGACAAAAAAACTTTGGGCTTTGCTTACAGTGTAAAAAAATGTAGCCTGGCGTGTGAGAAAGAAAAAAATGAAATGCCAGTTTCATGGTTCAAAAAAAAGTCTGTGATCATTCGTCTTGTAAAAAAACCTTCGCATCACCTTTGCCCTTAAAAAAATTGCTGCGTCCCTGCTCAGTGCAAAAAAAGCCCTCAGAGTGCCCCTGTGCTAAAAAAAATGGGGACTGGTGGGGTCACCTAAAAAAACAATGGAGCCACCGTGCAATGCAAAAAAACGAGAGGCCCACGCAGTATTCCTCGTGCCCCGTGTTAGTGTTTTCTGTATAAAAAAAAGACAGAACTGGTTTTTTTTTTTAAAAAAACTGGTTTTAGAGTAAATGTAACAAAAAAATATTTTCCCTTTATGAAAGATGAAAAAAATTTTATGTAGTTTCCAGACTTTAAAAAAAATTTTTATAAAACGTTCTCTGGAAAAAAAACTACAAGAATGTAAATATGCTAAAAAAAAAGTAACAAGGTTATCTGCCGTAAAAAAAGTTCTTTTGGATTGGGGTGGAAAAAAAAACACACTTAGCCATATTCACCCGAAAAAAAAGGGCTTATCCTCCAAGTACACAAAAAAATCCCGGGTCAACGGCAGCTCAGACTTCCGGTTTCTCTTTGGAAAGACATTAAAAAAAATTGAGGGAGAGAGTGTCATGGGAAAAAAACTCTACAGACATTTAATATCATTCTTATTTAATAACAAACATTGACCCCAAAAAAAAATCACCTGTTAATGTACTGAATGAAAAAAACAATCGGAGGAAGACACCGTCAAAAAAAATTTATGTATGTATTACTTTTTTAAAAAAAGGGTCTCCCTGTCGCCCAGGCTAAAAAAAAGTGGCATGATCATGGTTCACTAAAAAAACAAACTCTTGGGCTCAGACGCTAAAAAAACCTTAGCCTCCTGAGTAGCCAGGATTACAGGCCTGAGCCACGGTGCCTGGCAAAAAAATTGTGGAGACAGGCGACGGGGCAAAAAAAATCACTGTGTTGCCCAGGCTGGAAAAAAACTCCCCGCCTCAAGCAATCCTCCTGCTTCAGCCTCCCAAACAGCTGGAATTAAAAAAATGAGCCACCATACACCACACCAAAAAAAATCTCATTTTACAGATGAGGAAAAAAAAAATAGGCAAAGGGAAGGGTCAAGCAAAAAAACAAAACCCTGGTAAGTGATGCCAAAAAAATTCAAACTTGGACCTTCTGCCGAAAAAAATTCTGGCAGACCTCCTGTGTCTAAAAAAACTGCCACTTGAACGAATCAAGGAAAAAAAAGACACCTAGCCACTAGCCATCAAAAAAATATTGAATCTGTCTGCCACGCCAAAAAAACACAATTCAGGCTTTCTTAACTAAAAAAACATAGACTCTCCCCACAACGGATCCATATGGAGAATTCAGGGTGTCTTGGTAAAAAAATGGCAAAAGATTTGGTCTTTAGAAAAAAAATCCTCTAACTGAAATTAAGCAAAAAAAATCATTATGGATGTAGCCAACAAAAAAAAATAGTAGTAGCAGTAGCTGTGACAAAAAAAAATAGAAATCCCAGATATTTCAAAAAAAATTGCAGCTGTTGTAGAGATCTCAAAAAAATTTTATCACTTTGAAATTACAGTAGTTATTAGACCTATTACTAGATCTTGTAAAAAAATGTGCATATGTGTATATACATCAAAAAAACACATTACATGAGCATATATATAAAAAAAATAGTATATACAGGTTTTCCAGAAAAAAATTACCTGTACTCCATATGATTGGTTTCATTTGTAATCTATGTGCTTTATATAAAAAAATTGAAAATATCATTCTGAGAAGCCACCAGGCGCAGTGGCTCAAGCCTGTAATCCTAGTACTTTGGGAGGCCGAGTCCGGCAGATCACTTGAGGTCAGGAGTTTGAGACCAGCCTGGCTGACATGGTGAAACCCCGTCTCTACTAAAAATACAAAAATTTGCCAGGCATGGTGGTGCACCTGTATTCCCAGCTACTTGGGAGGCTGAGGCACAAGAATCGCTTGAACCCGGGAGGCAGAGGTTGCAGTGAGCCAAGATAGTGCCACTGCACTCAAGCCTGGGCGACAGAACAAGACTAGTCTCAAAAAATATATGTTATTCTGAGAAGAGATTTATATTCTTTGTGGAATGCCAAAGGAGTCCATGGCACAAAAAATGATTTAGAACCCCTGTTTCTCCAGCCTTGAGTTGTCTCTGTCCTAGAAACCTAAAAAAAAGCAGGGGGCAGGCCGCAGCCAAAAAAAAAGTGTGGAGTTCACATTGATTAAAAAAAAGGGGATGCAAAGAAATAAGCAGAAAAAAAGCCTGCCATTAAGGGCTAGAAAAATGACTGAGGTTCTTGTGAAAAATAATTCATGAAACTGACAAAACAACAGTGCATTAAAAAAAACATGGGACTTGGGAAATGAGATAAAAAAACATTCATTGACACCTCTTAAGCAAAAAAAGCTAGAGATGCCAAGATGAGTAAAAAAAAGACGCTGTCTCCTTGTCTTTGTAAAAAAACAGACCTGGAAAAGCAGAGTGTAAGTTCAGACTGACGTTGCCTGGGAGAATAAAAAAAGACTTCCCAGAGAAGGTGACTCAAAAAAATGGAAGACAAACTAGTATGTGCCAGAACCCGTGCATTCCGGGCCTGGGATAAAAAAAAGGGTAAA